GAATCGCGGCTGGGAAAACAGAACTGGCTGAGAGGGTTCAAATGGGTAGCAAGGGAGTGTAAAATGTATTCTATTTGTTTTTCGTCTTTCGTCCACATCGTTGAGAAGAGGGAGGTAAATGTGATTCGCGTTTGGGTTATGGGGTTTTTTTAAGGTTTAAGGTAGTCTAAAGTTTTATATAATCGCGCGCTTTATGCATGTGAGTTTAGTCGTGAGTGGGCTGCGGATATTTATGTAAATTCGCAATTTTCAAGGCTCTATTACATTAATAACAACACGTGAACACAATATTAAACTCTATTGGAAACTTCATTTTATTGCATCTTCCGAGGTCTATAAATCATATTCTAACTAGCCTGCGGATGTTTAAGCATATATAGAATTTCATATATTAATTTCTCGAAATTGGACGCAACGAAAATTTTATTTGGCCTCTTAAATATTCTGGTAAGTTTGCAATAAGAAGAAAACTTGGATAAGCCTTTTCAAATTTTGTACGGTTTTGAATTTTATACGATCGTATATTCTATAAATGCATAAAATTCGCAGTCTATCTATATCACACTGAATACATCCATATTCAATCGTATTTACGGTATAAAATCCAAGTACCAGCGTACAAGAAGCGAATTCGGTGCGTAATCTAACCCGAACGTAGACTGAAAAACATTATCCCATTGTGAAATATCGTTCGTAAAAGACGAAGTGGTTTCAATCGTTCGTAACATATGTTTGTAACGCGTATCGTCGAAAATTCCACAATGTATTTCATTGCCTGGAAGTACGGGCGAAGTAGAAAGAAAAGAAAAAGTGGTCGAGTGGCGGCACAGAATTCGTGGGGGTCGAATTAAGGTGAATTCGTGTCGCGAATGAAATACGTTGCCACGAGGTCGCGACAATTTTGCGTGACGGGCCGTGTAGGAACGATTGCAACGCGAAACATAGGTCCCAATAAACGTCGCCGCTATAAATACAGTCTCCGCAGGGGTGAATCTGGGATTCGGACCGTACGGATCCCTCGGAACTAACTGAAAATGGAGTATCGAAAGAAAGAGGTGAGTTTCATAGAGGAAACGGTGGAAAATTAGCGGGAACCTCTCGCTGGTAACGATATTTTCGCCCAAGCGTTAACCGCTACGGTAACTGTAAGTTTTTCTCCTTTTACTCGCAGCATGTACATTGGAGTTAGAGACTGCAGTTGGCAAAAGGGGATGCTGTTGGGATAAATCGCGGGAAAAAATTTCGCTCGGAAAGACCTCTTGTGCGGAGGAAATTGCAGTGAAATTCGGTATCCAGTGTACGTTCTTTCATTTTTTGTCTTTTTCGTGCTTCGATACGTTTTCTTTCCTCTCACTGTATTTCTGGTTTTTTTTTATCGTTTCGTGCTCTTGTAAGTCTCTAATTTCGACGAAGTAAGAGTGGTTCGCAAAAAGGTGTCGGTTTGTTGATTAAAGATGCATTTATCATTTGAAACAAAATTTGGAAATTAAACGACACGGAATATCCAGGCCGCGAGAACTGTCGCGTTTAAATCAGTTATATCTGTGGGCAATCGCTGAAACATTATGTTCATGTTGGTATATTAATGTTCTCCCGGTTCGGTCGATTTTAATCGAAATATCATAATTGAATCGTCGAGTTCGCGAAAACGGTAGTTAATAAAAAGTATCAATATTAAGTTCGCCGACCTGATGAATATTTAATGTTAGTATTGGCTACGCTCAGAACAATAATTTGGCTCCATACTGCTGATATACGTTATTATGTCAGAGTAAATATTTAAACGTCCCATGCGCTGAATATTTGCTTATGAGCGACGGTGTGAGTAGGTATATATGTTCATTTAGTATTCGTATCATATAGATTCGTTACAAAACTACTATCGATTCATGACATTTATGGTCGTTTCAGTTGTGTATAGGTTTTTCTTCTTTTCATAATCAAGAATTTTTTTATCGTTCACAAACAATCTGAATGACACAATGCGGTCATTAACACGTTTGCTACCACCATATGGTTTATATATACATATTATATATTAAAAGTACATAAACCAGAGATAATGAATAACATACAATATCGGTGAATAGAAATTGGAGAGTCAGACATATGTGACGCCTGATAGCAAATGTGTTAACAGGGGATTTGATACGAGTAACATTGGATTACTGAAATCTAGTGCGAACAGTATTGGATTTTTGAAACTCCGTAGTGACAACCCGAGACTCTTATAAATCAATACGGACATCATCTGTTTCTGTTCGCTGTTTAGTTATATTCTTCAGTATACATTACGGTTTCGACGGAAGCTTCATTGATGTTCAGGGGCAGTACGTATTATTTCCAATGAAGTCATGTATCATTTCATTGAAATTCACGTGTTGAGTTTAACAAAGCCCAATCCAGCAATATGGAATTCATGCAATTATATGGCTCACATCACGATCATAGTTACTATCTAATTACTTATCTAATTACTACCATGCTACGGGGAGGAAGTGAACCTGCACAAAGGATAAAATCGCTTCCGTTCTGTCACCATAGAAATCCTATAACACGATAACTGTTCCACAGACGAATTCACCGCCCCTTGCATATAATATTCCGAGTAGCAGGCTGCGAGAATCGTTCAAAAGGGATGTAGGGCGGAGAAAAGGGAGATTGAAATATGTTTTCGATATTTCTTGAATTTCCCATGAAAAATGTGTCGGGTAATACTTACTCGTTCTCGGGCTGATATTCAAACGCGTGCCATGAATTGAAAAGGAAAAAAATACGTCGGTTAACAGATCAGTTTGATGCACGTTTGCATGCCAATGGAATTCGAAAGCCGTTTGAAAATTTATAACAGAACGTCACTTCAGCTGAGCGCAATATGAAATCGCAGTTAACATTTCGCTTTGAGAAATCGAGCGGCATCGAACAACTAATGAAACAATATACGTATGTTACGTGGTACTGAACAGATGGCAGCTTTTGAATTATCACGAATGCATTCGACGAAAAAAAAAGCTTATTCGTCGACCTCTATAAGGTTTTTGTTTACTGTTGGAACGCGCGCGCGCGCGGTTCATTTCGTTTCAAGCATGAAACTGAAATGAAACGCGAATATTAATTATCTCCAAGTCGCGATATATACACATTTCGCGAAACCAGAACAGAAAAATGTGTCGCTGCCATGAAAATAATCCTTTCAATTTCTCGGGGTACAGATCATCTCGATGATGCGACAAATTAAACAAAAAAAGAGAAAAGGAAGAAGGGAAAACCTTCAAAACCCGTCGCTATTCACCTGAGATCGCGTCCAATGACGTATCACGCTTTTTGCCCTCTTGAAAAAAAAAGCCCTCGAGAACAGCTTCGAGACGTGGTTTTTCGAGTACTCTACTTTGTAACCCGCCGGCGAGTCGTGCTTCCAAGAGTGAAAAAAAAAAGAAACGAAAAAAGATTCCTGTCGGTTTCATAAATAGTGGCGACGACATACTTCCCAGACACAAGATTGGAGAGCGGCGAGAAGATGCCATTAAACGTGAATTAAAACGAAAAATTAGAGGGACGGCTGTGCTGCGTTTCGAGCGTAGCCCCTCTGTTTTGCAGCCACAAAAACGTCGGGACGTTAATTAAAGTCGTAGAATTTTTCGCGACGGGTAACAAGCGGCCTCTTCGACATTTAATGCACGGGGTAACGTGTAACCACGAATTTAGTTAGAAGTTTTTGAGTGAAAAATCTTAGGCGAACTGACTCGTCTAATTTTCTATTAATTTTTCATCGTCACTGATACTATTTCCAACATTTTATTATCAAGAAATGTAGAAGATAATACAACTTTCATTCTCTTTCTGGTTCGATAAATAGTAAATATTGTAAATTTATAGTGACTCTGTACAGAGTACGCGTACAATTCTCCGAGATCTTTCAAATGAATTCAGAATACGCTCAAAGGATTAATAAATCGGTGTTCTGCGACTACTTTGAAGTATGGCCCTCAGGAGCGTCACTTATTAGTTAACCTCTTGCGGGTAATTTCCGGAGTTAATTTCGGAGTTGTATAATTACGTTATATACATATTGATATTAACGAATATACATAATACCGAACCGGCTGTAATTAACTTTAACCACAGACGATGTGTAGCTAATTCGACCTAAACAAACACTCCGTGCGCGCTATAATTTTAATCTGGCGGTCGAGATGTCGCGGCTGATAAAATAAAATTGCAGTTCCTTGTTTCTTCCTTGTTACCATCGCAAGAAATCGATTTTTATTCACCGTATAGAGAAATAGACCGTACCTTGCATTTAAGATCACTTGAAATCCAACGGAAAAATTGAAATTTACTTCGACCTACTATGCAATATAATAATTACTATTGATTGCGGATTTTATACATTTATAACGTGTATGATTCTTTTAAACTCTGTGTACAAAAATATTTAACGAAGTTTGATAAGGTCTTCATCTTACTAACCTAATAGCATCTCTATTTGAGTAACGAAATTGCTGTTTGATGTCAGTTTTTATAAAATTGACAAAAGAGATCTATGTTTGCATGACCATCCATAATGTAATAATAATACCAGTCTCCGTTCAAACCTTAATTCATTTAATTATTTCCTGCAATCAACTTTGTCATGTATATAACAATTATATTACCTCGATCTCTTCACACAATCTGAAATGGTTTCCATACGACTTCATAAAACAATACCCAAAATGGTACAAGACAGAGATGTCTATTAACCAAGTCAGATGGAAATCCTTTTATTTGTACACTTATTATAATTATGTATCACAAATTATGTCTCAGTATGTACCCCTGAATCTTACAAAAATAATAGAAACAGGTTACAATCGAACGTGATTGAATCGATTCGATTTCTATTTTCATTATCAGGCAAAGGTACTGGAAACGCGATAATATTTCAATCGCCGTCAAAATAGGGAGTGAGCCGTTCGACCCGTATTAATTTGACTTTCCCGTTTTCCGGACTGTTGCAGATATCCAGGAGTTTTACGAGCTGACGTTGCTCGACGAGTCGAAATCGGTGCAGCAGAAAACGGCGGAGACGATCCGCATCGCCGACAAATGGGAAGCCAGCGACGGGCCAATTACACCGACCTTCGCTCAAAACGACGTGAGTTCAGTTACAAATGTATTTTCCCGTGCCTCGATATTTCATACCGGCTCGGGCTTTATCATCCTCCGCCGATTGGGAGGTGTATCAGTTCGACGGGAGGGAAGAGGGAATGGAGTTCGCGTGTACTCGTTACGCGTTCATGGTCTCGCCCAGCGATCCCCAGCTGTCCCAGAATCTCGTTTTCACGTCGCCCATCGTGGTCGAGCGTTTATTAGAATTCGATGGTAGCCCCCCAAGCTCTTTTCATTTTCAGCACGAAAATGGAAGCATCGGAGAATAAAATCGAATCTTTTTTCTGGTACTGTTCGCGTGGACGAATATTCTCAGAAATATTAATACTTTGTGGATCGTGGTCCCTTAGCTACGACGAAAGGAGCTAAGTAATACATACGAATTTAATTTTGTTTCTGTATAACCTCGGATAAAGTGTCGATTAAAATTCTCGTCCTATACGACTCACTATCACGACTGCTAGTATCAAACGCAGCAAAGGAACTATAGAATTGCATAGGATATTGATCGTTGATATAAAAATTAAATGCATAATTTAAACCACCGATGGTTGACGTAAGCAATCATATACTATTGAGTTGGAGAGAGCACTTGGTATTTTCAAGTAGGTAACCTAGATTAAAATAGACCTATATACATATATAGGTACCGTGTCCGAGTGTTAAGATGAGATTTCCTGTAACTATCAGTAGTGTTATATTTGCCTCTGACGCACCATTGAAATAAGCGAACATCATAAGTATTCATCGAAGGCAATCGAATCACATCACACTCGCTTATATAAATGCACCTGTAAATTGACAGAAAATCCCTCCACTACATTTCACCAGATCGTTCATCGTCGGTACTTGTCGTCACATCCTAGGATTTTTTCATCTACAATGTCGAAGGGTTGGTCTCGATTAATAGGAAAATACATAAGAGACACGTATAGGACACCGCCGGAAATGAAATTTTTCGAATATTTTAAACCAACCTGTCGACTACTAATCACGTGGCTGATCTCTAATAGAGATGGCGAGGGGAGGGGTGGTGGTGCGAGGAAAGAGGTCGGATGGCAGGTGCCGCGCAATTAGCGCCCGTAATTATAATCCAAGAGTCGATTGGCCCGTGGGACAGGCCGGGTATCATGCTAGACCGATCAATCGCCGAGCCCCTGATTTTAATTGCTAATTGCTCCCGTCCAACGGGTTCCCCATCGTGCGGCGTGTCGTCGTGGCCGATCGACGACGTGACACGGCTGGTGGTGCAACGATGCACCGTGCAACGATTGCAAATCGCGCGAGAGAACGCGTGCCCGTCTCCCCCTCTGGTATGCAGTTGCGATGCTGGGCACGTCTCGTTCCGTTCCTCTCCTCGTGGCTGGCCGTTCCGTTCCGTTCGGGATCCACTCGGTTCCCGATCGTTCACCCACCGATGACACTCTGAAATTTATAGATCGTCCGGATTTAATTGCTAGGAATTAATCCTTTGACACCAGCCACGCCCTTCCGCTCGAAAGAAATTTTTTCCCGTAATGGAATGCGCTTGTGTATGCTGGCGGCAAGCCATCGTAATTCCTTGTTGAGTTTAGATAAATAATTTACATCAATAAATTGTTTACCCACGATGAAATTCATCGTGTTCCGTTGGGTGTTTGTAGTAGTCGAATGTACTGTGCGTTGTCCAACTGAAGATATAATGTATATTTTGTATAGGATCGTTCGACGTCAGATCGATCACATGTTGCACCCTAGACGGGATTTTGTTCGAAATGAAATATGTCGTAGTTAACGTGAAATTAGAGGTGGTTTAAGTCATCGTATTTGTAAAACCTCAATGCGTAACTATAAAACCACCCTAAAATTTTCAATCCTTATGTATTGTGGTTAAAATAAAAACAAACCACTTTTCTTTCTAAGGAATGTAATCTATAATTATCTGGAGAAACATTATTCCTCGACACGATTTCAGACACGGCATACTTGGCTCGTTTTTATTTTAATCACAATACATAAGAATTGCAAATTTTAGGGTGGTTTTATAGTTATGCCACGCAGTTTATTCTTCAGTTTCTACTAATTCCTTTAGAAACGCTCTACTGATTTATAAATCCGATACAACAGACTCGAAAACTATCGGAAAATGATATCAAACGCAATGAAACCCCATATCGATTAAATCCGCAAATGGATCTTGAATCACCGTTCTCACTGCCATTATACTGAAACCCGCAATTGAATTCTGTTTAAAGGTCACAGAAAAGCTTCTGCCCATAAAAATTATTAATATGCCAAGTACCTTTATTTCGTGAGTCGTTAAATGTCGCCCCGGGTATTGGAAAGTTCTCGTCGGAATGGGGGCGCGATAAGAGGGCCTCGTAAAACGACGGCGAAAGGGCCATTAAAGGCGATCATGTAAATTAGTGTTTACGGCAGCGTTTCCACGACTCATCTCGCAGATATACAGGTTGTTAATAAAAATGTGGGACACTTTCCCAGGGTGAATTCTAACACGTCATTCCAAGACGAAATTGCGTTCGGGGCTTTGTTTCCGACTTATTAATCGCTGAAAATTACGGACGAAATCGCGTAAAATACGTCTGACACTGTGGGTGATTCTACTGGAGAGACGAGCATTTCAATTATTCCCCGAGTTGGTTTCATTCGTTCGATTTTATTTCATTCATAAATTTAACTAAGCCATTGGTCGATCCCGTGTATCAACTGGGAATCGACTGTTCAAGTAATATGTACAACCCATCACGTCAGGCGTATTTCGCTTTAATAACTCAGAAACGAAGCCTACAACGAAATTTTCGTTATTCTCGTTTTTCATCGAATCCATCCAGTGAGAGCGTCCCACGTTTTTCTTAACACCCTGTATACGATTTCCCGCGGTCGGGTGGCCTACGCTTCGTCGTGTTAATTCGATTTCGAAATAGCGGACAGATACACGGGCGAACCGGACCGATCCAGGCTGAAAAATTTATTCGCCCGCATTCAGCTCGCTTATTTCACGGTAGAGAGATCTCGTTGTACGAACACGAAAGACCCGTCCCTTCCCTGCTCCTCTCCCCTGTCGACGCTGAAATTCTTCGCTCCGAAGAGAGACGCGTATACAAACGGGACGAACAAACGAGCGAACAGGGGTCTTGATGGTTCTCACCTGTGTGAGTACAAGGGACGTTAAGCGTTCTCCGGAGAACAGAATGGTTTTCGTTGCTTGCACAGACAGATGGCACATAACATCCATTATGAAGAATTTCTCTTGGTACATGTATTTGCCCGTGCACTCCTACACTCGCGTATTTAACTCCCACCCCCCCCCCTCCCGTACCACATCACCGCCGTTGTATATTTGTGCGCTTGTAACGCGGAAACGAAAGAACCGGTGGCTTTTCTCGCGTAAATTTTATTACTTTTCGACGTGCTTGGGACCGAGACACCCCAAAAACTGGTTTCACGAAGTTTCGTTGTTTTCCTACTCCAGAAAATTACTGTGCCATTGGGTTTTATGCGTTTATCGCATGCACTCGAACAAGTGAAACATATATGAATGAACGACCATGTTTAACATTTGACTTGGTGAACTTTAATGTAGTGAATTATTATTTTTTAAACATCCTCACCTCACGAATGGTATTGTTCGATAATAGTCAAGTGTTACTTCAATCTTGAGGGCAAGTGCAGGACAGTAAATCTGCGATGAGTGTTCGATCGGTCCTCGATAGTAACAAGGACAGATTCCTAGGTGTAATACTGTCTAGTCACATACACTTTATTTCGTTTTTTAAGTAATAAATCGTCGAAAATGTGCGAGTTTGGTTAATAGAGGCTCTTGTTTGAAAGTATACTTATAATACGATATTAATTTTACGCCAAAATTTTGTGATGGTTTTTCAATCATTCAGCCTCTTTGCAATGTATGTGTCGCCCATATTTGGGTGACGTGGCAGTGGAAATGTTGTTTTCTGTAATCAGTTTATTAGTTTCAAACTATGCGACTGTAGAAACAGAATACTATATAAAAATTGATATTTTTTATCAGATTAGAGTAGATTAATTCAAGAATGTATTGGCTGTAAAAATAGCAGTTATTTTTACCAATTTCTACTTATTAGCTGAGTATGTTTATATTTTATCTGTTGGAATATAGTATATTCCTTTCTATTTAAATTCATCAGAGAAATCGAAAAATTCTATAATAATGCCAGCGCAACATTCTGGCAATATTACCTTAGAATTCACTCGCAACATATTTTTAAAATACAATTTCTAATCGCCAAACTAAAACTAATAATGTTTCAGTATGACAGGGAAATTCTGCTTTAATTACAGGAAAGAATTATCGCACAGTTGATCTCATATTTATAATTTCTAGACCACCGAGTAGTATACTGCAGAAATGCGAATACCCGATCGGCTATGAATAATTGCTTGTTAGTAAATGCTTCCCTGGTGTATCCATAATTCCGGAGCATTATTCATCCTATCGATTCTTCGCGTCGACGTGAAAACATGTTTTTGTTTACCAGCGACGGATATTCAGCCAACTCGGATAACCGTGCAGTAAAGAAATAAAAATTAACATATATTTTCATTACCGTGCAAAAATTATTTTCTATAAGGACCTATGAATGAAACGCACGACTTCTTACAATTATGGATGGACAAAATTTAATGAAGAATATTCACTTGCATTTTCTTAGAGCTTCCATAAAAAAGACTCCAAGTCTTTTAATGTTCTTTTAATGTCCCCAGGGATTTGTACTCGGACGAAGTTTTTACTGGCAACTTTCACTCCGGGATCTTGCCTAACCCAAGTAGTTACGAAGTTTGATCGAGTACGAACCGTAAAAGTGTTAAAGCCAGGCCGATTTGTGCGGATTCGGACGATCTTTTAAGTGCTCGAAGGATTCTTTTCGTTCTCGAAATTATAGCACAAAGAGTAAACTGCTAAAATCTAATCAGTTGTTTCTCTAACTACCCGTCCAACTGTCTACA